CTTCATCATGGAGAGCATCTTTACCAGCTGCATCACTGTCTGGTATGGCAGCACTACTGTTATGGACCACAAGCACCTGCAGAGAGTGCTAAAGACTGCGGAGAAGATCACCAGGACTCCACTGCCCTCTCTGCAGAGCATTTACCACCACAGGGTGCGTAGGAAAGCTGCCTCCATCCTCAAGGACCCCACCCACCCCCAGCATGGACTGTTCGCCTCCCTACCCTCTGGCCGGAGGTTCAGAAGTGTGAAATGCAGGACCTCCAGACTGAAAAACTCTTTCTTTCTTTCTACCATCAGACTCCTAAACAGCTGAAGAGTTTATGACCAGGAAATACGTGATGTACTGTTTACATTCTGTTTGCACATGCATAATTGCACAATGACTTCATTTGTATTATGTGGCATTCATGTGGACGGCAAAGTAAGAATTTCATTGTACAGGGAAACATGTTTCCTAACTGTGCATATGACAAATAAACACTTTGACCTTTGACCTTACCACGGCTGTGACAGAGAGAACTGTGGCTAACATTTAACGTCAGGAGAAAGCAGGTATAAAATCTGCTGCCCTGGTCTCAGCATGGCAGCCGTTAGTCATACGACACCTTTTCAAAGTTAAAAACATGTTTGAGGAGGGAGAGGGTGTTTGTAAATCACGTCACTCGCCAGAAGAGAATGTGAGGGGTTTCACAGGCTTTCAGGTCAAACCATACTCTACTTAGCGAATGAACTAATAGATGATTTGACTGGAAGGAGACGAGATTGTTGTAAACATACACTTTCATCTAAGTTTTCTCTCAGTCCACGTGCACAACATCCTAAATGGTGTATTGAAAATAACACAACTGTGGTACATTTCCATCATCAGTGTTGGTAAAAACACAGCTAAATAAAAAAACTGCATTGCAGCAATATTTTGAGCACCTGAAGGTAATTTGGAACAGGTTTACTAAATATCATCTTTTATGTTTAGAGCTGTTGTTGCTCTGTGGTGCATTGTACTGTGGAAGCTGCTTTGCCAGTCATCAAACACTATAAACACTAAATTTGTATAGCATATTTAACATGTGCATGTAAACCCTAATACATGTCTGTTGTGAACAACATTCACTGCTGCTTTCTTATCAAATCTGAATCCAGTAGTTCAACAGTGCGAGTCTTAGTTACACACACAAGCTGCAAGAGAGGGGCCACAGCAGGGCAGACAGGAGGCTGTGCTTTCACTGCATTCACATAAAATCCTCACTTGACAGTGTTGTGCGGAGGTGTGGTCATGTTTATTTGTGTTTTAGAACATAACCGGAGTGAAACAATCAGAAAATAACATTTCTGTGATTCACAAATTTCTTTTGCTAGCACCGCTCCCCCTGGCTGAGTCACGCGGGCAGGCGGACGGATTTGGTACGAACTAGTGACGCTGAACCGACCAATCAACTGTACAAAAACTGAGTGGATGTACGAAAACTGGGACAAAATTTTGACGAAAAAAGTCGTTGAAAACCGAATCGTACAAAAAGTAGGGCATACGAAAACCGAGGTTCCACTGTACTTCATATTATATACAGCCTTTTCCATTAGTTATTTGTATAATTTAAGAGGGAAGACAGAATGACTACTAGCTACAGTATATCTGTTGTGTAGAAGTTGTTTTCTGTAGTTGTACTATGAGATAAAACTGGGCACTTCTATTGATATCAGAATGGCAAGCAGCATTTCATTTGCACATGTGTGGGTGAGTTGAAGCTATCAGTGCAGCTTACTGAGGTGTTGGATGATGTGGTCTATGGTAGGCTTGAAGAGGGAATTCATAGCATCTGGACTCATCCTCAGCATCCCCTGAGATGACCATTTAACAAAATCCACACTGGAGAGTAGAGGAAAGAAGGGGTTACATGAAAATCGGATGTTCAGTGCAGTGAACTGTGTTCCTATGTTTTGCTTTGCATCAGACAAAACCCTTCACACACTCTTTGACATGATTTTGTATAATGACAGCACAATGTTCATATAATCCTGATTCCATTCCACTAAAGTCACTAAACAACATTACTGAATTATAGCTCAGTGCTATCTCCAACACTGAGATAAAAATCCCGTTACTTATACAAACATATAGAGACTATTACATGTAGTCCTTTAATCTGTTTACTATAAAACTATTAGAGCCTCTTTAACTGCCATTTTCCTCTTATTTTAAGGAGCCGATGAAGCCTGGACACATAATTATAAGCTCTACAGTTGCACATCCAAATGCGCAATGGCTTCAAACTTATAAAGGCATTTTGATGGATCGATTAAGGGAACTGTGGTATTACATATCAGCCACGGTGTCTGTCAGCTTGAAAACCAGATGCAGAGACCAGCGACAGTCCAGGCTCTGTAGGGAGCGGGGTCTTAAATTTCTTCATAAGCTATTTCCCTCAGTCCTGCCTCTCTAGGTCTGATACCGTCTGTCTGTCAGCTCATAAATCCTGAAAGAATCTATAGTATCCATCTGCTGTGATCCCATGTGTGTAGTGATTCATGTACAGTAGTGCACATTTAAGTGTGTGATACTGTTAATGTTGGCCCCTCCCAAGGTTTTCCAGCATACTGAGACAGACTGAGCACTTCCAGTAAGGCATCTGAGGAGCCTGGGGGCTACCAGGAGCTCCAGTTTCAGACATATAAATATCTTTTAATGTCCTCCTCTGTGGGATTATGAAAATCCACACAGGCATGAGATAGGGCCATTAAAATCCACGGTGGTCCCATAAATCAGTCGTTTCAGTACTCTAATGACTGAAAGTTATGTCACCAACAATATCACTACCACTGAGGTCTAGTGACATGCTTTTATCTGAGCATCTCTTAGTTCCTAATGCCAGTCTTCTCTCAGTTCAAGTGACTCAGGTCACCTCATAAGATACTCTGAGGTGACAAAATGATGAAAATAAATTGTTTCCCTGGGTTATACATTGTAAAGGATGCATGGATGCCTTTCTTGGAAAATAAATTGTATTCTATTATCTGTCTGGCCCTTGAGGTGAAACGCGAGACTTGCACAGCCAGTTTCTGGACTACAAGACTTAAAACCAGTGGAAGTGCAAACAAACTTTAGGCATCAAATTTAAATTAGATGAAAGTTTATAGATCCCTGAAAAGGTTATTGCTAGGTTACATACAACCAGCTGAACAGTGCCGTGCACTACAGCTACTCAGCTGGGCTCTCTGAAACACCTATACAAGCTTCCAGAACATTAATACATTTTATTCAAGCTGTTTATTTTTTTTTCACATGACTAAGAATTAAAAACTATCAAGTTAAAAAAGCCACAGACTTTTCAACTACTAAGAAAAACAGTAAAATTAACAATTACAAATAATCAGCATTCATTACTTTATTGTTTTATTATTTGGAATAATAATAATGTCAATTTTGTTAACTATCCTCCACTGATCATTCTCATGTCTGTGCGTTATTTACAAAGCTGGAGTCAGCACATGGTTAACCTACTGGCGTTAGCGTCAAAAATGTCTCCATACTCAGATCATGTGAAGTCCAGCACCTCCCGCTGCCTTTTCCAACATTTTTTTATTCCTTCTTATTCTGTTTCAGTTATTATGTGAAGATGTTTTTCACAGCTAATTAAAAATACAAGAAAACAGAACAGCTCCCTGCTGCAGATCCTGCATTTTATGTTCCACCTATTTATCCCTGTTCAGGGCCACAAAGTCACTTCTGCATGCTGCCTGAGGGTTTGGTCCCTGGTTGTCTGAGCTACTCACTTGCTTTTGCGCAGGGCGTGTTCCACACTGTGCCCCCTGAACTTCTTGTAGTAGTCAATGAAGGAGAAGGGTAGGTTAATATTGAGTGGGTTAGTTCTGTCAGGGGCCGCCGCTCTCTTCCGAGACTCAAATGCAATCATCAGGTCCACCCAGGCAGCCGGCCTCTTTATCTTAAACTGGTCGACGAAATCCTGGCCAAAGATCTTACACAGCAGCTTCTCAAATTCATAGTCAATCCCAATAGAGCCATAGGGGCCACCTGATCATGAGTACAAATGAAACAAGGTAAGACTCTATGTGCCATACCGAGAGAGAAGTAATATTATGCTATAAGCCTCTTTACCTGAGGCCTTGTAAAGCTCCTTTAGATGTCCCTCTGGAAGACGGATCTGATGAACAGTCAGGTCCACTGTCCCTCCACCACAGTCCACCACTACGTAACGGTCACCTGCACAGAGAATACACAAAAATGGAACATAGTGTGCAGTGAGCTCAGACAAAAGCAATTTAAAATGCAAGTCATCCAACTTCCTGCTGTGCACCCACTGCCTCTCATCTACCACAACCATTTTTAGGAACATTCTCAGGGGAGGATGGTGGTTTCAAGAACCGGGCCACAGGAAGTGCTGCTGACCTACATTTATGGGGCTATAATGTCAGGGGCGTGCTGGTGAGGGGGCGAAAGGAAGGAAAATAGATGCGGTAATGTGGGAGACCCAGGACTGACTTAAGCAAAGACCAGATGGTGAACAGAGATGGGACATTAGATGACTCACACAATGAAATACATCCAAGGTCATATTTCTTCACAAGTGCATGTCACATAATGTACTGTGGGTGTGCAGCTGATGGTGGGTAGTTCCACTTAAGGTGTTCAAAAATAATTCTATTTTTATTTTCCTCAAATCACATCTCTCATAAAGTCCCACTGAAATCACTTGCTGTCAAACATTTTATTATATATTTGTTGTTACTGAAAGTAAGAAAAAAATGCCTTTGGAGATCATTTCAGATCAGTTTCTGAGTGAACATGTCACTGAACATGTCTGGAAGACAGTGTGACGTGAAGAGACAAGGTAAATAAAGCAAAGCTAGTACCAGTAACTGTTCCACTGATGTTCAGTGTTTTGTTAGTAATGGTGTTGAAGAGCAAAGCTGGATTTAAACCTGTGTGTTTGGCTATGTGCTGGCTGCAGGGTTAGGCTGTAGGCTAAAACCAGAGTTATGTACAGTCAACATCGCCGCAGACCTACACATATAAGGGTGTTATGGGTAACTGTATGTCACAGAGGCTTGCAGAGGAGCTGATGGGCAAACCTCCCAAATCTCAACAATGCATTGTGCAGACCTACGCGTCAAGACAGCTGATCGTTGATCTAACCTCATGTTGAAAGGTGGGAACCAAGCACAAAGGTAGATGGAGCAGCTAGGAGAGTATTCTCTCATTCATTAGCAAAGCACAGCAGAATGTTGAGTGTGCTATATCGAACCTGCAAACTGATGTTAGCAGTGAGGTTTCTTAGCGCATTACTGAAACCCAAAAGACTGCGCTAGGACACCTAGTGCACTGGTTCTTCCTCAAAAGAGAGCATGGAACATTTGATTTAGATAGCAGATATGAATGCTGTATACAAATTACAATTCCAAATTAATGGTCTTCTCAACAGGATTAGTTAATGGACTCATCATGGTAATATTCAGATGTTCTAACAGGTTACAAACCAAGTCGATGATTTCTGCTGTTTATTTGCACATTTCAGTACATGTTAAGCTGCAACTTGTGTCTGGCCATCATTTCTATCAGCCAAGATAACACCAAGCTTACTGCTGAAATCTGCAAGAGTGATGACATCACCCAGATGATCAACCATTTAAACAAATAAATAGTTTGTCTAAACAATTTATTTTTAAGTCAAAGTGAACCTAAGAACTCCTAAAATGTCACAATTCCTCACTGCACAGGAGCTGTGTGCCCACAGCCCCAGTTGGTACACGAACTCCAAACCAAATCAGTCTGTAAACTATGACGGGTGTTTCCGACAGTTCAGATAATAACTTTACTGTTTGCCGTCTTTGTCTCTTTCAAATACAGTTAAGTTTGACTAACCCGGGATTTTTTTTATAGGTTTCTGTATATAAGCGTGTTGCGGAGCCAGGGGGTGGTCAGGACGACACCCTGGCTCCGTTTGGCCACCTGTACCAGTCAAAATGTGGTGCTTGTTAATATTAATGGAAGAAAAATGAGAAACGATGACAAATTGTTGCCTTAAATACAACTAGCATTGTTCTAGTGATTTAAAATGGAAAATGGTCAAACTGGATTCATTTTGTTCCAAGCATACAACATGATCCATTCATTTCTCCAATTGTGTTGTTATCAAGTACTTGGCATGAGTCACCTCAGTGGGAGTGGGGGGTGGGGAGAGCAGGAGAGCAGCCAAAGTTAGCTAAAGAAAGCACAGTGTGTCTCATATGTACACAGAATAAACACTTTGATTCTCAAAAAATGTGCGGTTTGTTATTTCATATAATTGGGGTTTAATTTACTTTTTACATCTATTTCAAATGTGCGACTGCTCTGTGAGTCTTTGCCCCAACCTGGCCACCCCATCCAGAGTTTTCTACATCCGTCCCTGATTAAAATAAGATTTAAAAAAAACTGTTATAAAATTGTATGACGCTTTAACTTATCTGTTATTTATTATTAATTAAAACAGTAGGAGAGTGAAGCCATGTGACCAGAGGTTGACTGGAAAATAGCAGGACGACCTGGCAGAAGGAAACGTCTGTGACACTGTTCCTTCTGCAAAGAAGGGAAACTATCCAGCTGCCAGACAGACGGCACGTCTACCATTAATGCTGAACTATTTACAACCTGTCTGATCATCTCTTGCTTCTTACCCTGTCCTAACGGGTTTTAGCAACGCCAAGGTATACCCAGATCTTTGTTTGTTTGGCGTTCAGAGCAAGTGAACAAAGTCATCTTGACTGACAGAACCAGTGACACAGGCTGTAGAACTGAAACCCAAGCTGTAATACACAACAGTCTCTGTACACTGCTTTTTAGCTAAATGGAACTGCTAACTGCTTTTGCTACAGCCAAATAACTATCATACAATGAGAATAAAATCTGATGGAAATAAGCTAAATCAACATAAGATATATAGATATATAGGTTATTTAAAGGCAAAACCTTAAATGTTAGATTTTCAACATGCTCTGCTTCTGCCATCTAAAGCTTACTACCTAATATGAGAGACAGGAAACAGCAAGAGCTGTGACCCTAGAGGAAGAGGAAAGTAAGTCATTAACAGATGAGTAAAAGAAGACAAAGACTCTACCTTCTTCCAGCTCCGACCAAAGCTCCCCTATGACATTTTCCACCAAAAAGGTGCGGCTCTGCCGGTTGCGCCGAACATGCTCCTTAGCTGCTTGTTAACAGAGAGAGAATGTTGTGGTGAGTGTGATGAAGGCGTGAAACTCTGCTGCATGAAGCTGTGTGGCTCTTGCACAGCCATGTGTAAGGCAAGCAGCAGGCTGAGGTGCACATGAATCCACAATGTGGGCAAATCTTATTTCTACACTTTGGAATTCTGATCAGTCTTATTTAATCTGTGATGTGTCTTTTCAAGAGCAGCTGAATTTCAGGTGTGTAACAGAAAGATCATTTGCCTGTTCACCACATACACAGTACTGTATATGTAGAGTACGTAGGCAAGGGCGCTAGGACAACATGTCACAATAGGGTGACCCACCAATCAAGCTGCTTATGGCGTGAACATGCAGTGAGAGTGATGGGATTAAAACACGAAACAGAACATTAAGATTCCACCGAGACAGTGGTGGGAGCTACCAGTAATAACAGTGATATTAATAATACTAGAACGTTAAAAGTGAAATAAAAATCACTGGCTTCACTACAAGTGATCCCGTGTCCATACTAACTCCTCCATGATCAGCCCAAGATTTCAGAATTCTGTATCATTGGGAAGAAAACTGAATAAAGGCCGTTTCCCCTAAATCAACTTTCATCTTAAAGTCTGATGAGATTATCAATTAGTTTAACATTGTTTTGATGTGCTTTTTTTGTTAAAAAAAAAATTTAAATACCTTAAACTTGGTACAAAAATTCATTACATTTTTACTTATCACTTTTTTTTTTATTACTAATTAATCAGAAGGAGAGTGAAGCCATGTGACCAGAGGTTGACTGGCAAATAGCAGGAAGACCTGGCAGTGTTAGGGCAGGAGTAAACGTCAGAGCGACATTTCCTTCTCAACAGAGGAAACAATACAAAGAAGGAAGGCCAACTCTCCAGCTGCCACACAGAGGGCATGAGAGAGGTCCACACAGTTAACGTTACCTCAGAATAACCCTCCAACAACATCATATAAATACTGTGCATGACGAATACTGCCAAAGACAGTTTGAACAAATATGTGAAGATTATTATTTAAAAGAGCAGTTCTGCTTAATCTGAATCTGGCAAAAAAAAACTGTCACTGCAAATTTGTCACCATAAAACGAATAGAGTGAAAAGCAATATCAGCCAGAAAGTGACATGTGTATCATTTGCACTGTAATACAGTATGTTAGGTAGAGTAGGAACGGTCATATGCCAAGTTCACCTTACTCTGTTCCCAACACCTGTTCAAGACTTGATCTAAAGGCACTGCACATAGGCGGAGTTGTGTCATGGCTCGTCATGCAACATGCCACATAAATCCCAGAGCACACACCTGTAGCGGCAGACTTCATTGAGGTGCTACTGAAATGGGTGAGTACTTCAGGATTTTACGGTTTTGACGTGGAGGACAACAGCGTATCCTGAAGCACTGATGCATCTCCTTCATTGAAAATAATGGGTGCAGATGTTGTGATGCAGGTTGCACACTGCCTGTGTGCAGTGACCTTTAGAATATCCAAATACCTGATTAAATATTAAATTAAATATTAAACATATAGCATCTTATTAAGTTGGGGTCAGGGTGCCATGTTGTGTTTCTGGATGTTCAAGTAAGGTTGCATGAAAATAGCTAAAAGCAGAAATCAAATTTTTAATAATATAAAGGCAAAAATTGCAGTCTCTAGTCGTGCAAAGCTGGTAGAGCCATACCCCAAAAGACTTGCAGCTGTAATTGCAGCGAAAGGTGGTTCGACAAAGTATTGACTCAAGGGGCTGAAAACATATGCACGGCACACTTTTCAGATTTTTATTTGTAAAAAATCTTGAACACCACGTATCATTTTCCTTCCACTTTGCAATTATGTGATACTTTGCGTTGGTCTATCACATAAAATCCCAATAAAATACATTTAAGTTTGTATGTATTTAAGAAGTATGAATACTTTTGCAAGGCCACTGTATATTGAGTTCATTCTTAAAAGTTTTATATAAATCAGAAAATTGGGTAAAAAAACTGAAATTTTGTTGCAAGACGCCCAAAACTGCATGAACCTTGACCTTCACAAAGCTGTGAATGATCCATTGTGATGTGATCAATGTGATCACTGTGGACCTGCTAGTCAGTGCCATCAGACGTCTGAGGTACCACGCGCTCAAACACAACACAGGCTTTTGGACTGGAACAAAACCACTGTACTCAAAGCAAACACAGCTCAAATCAAAGTACCAACCCACGCTAGATGCAATACACAAGCTACATCACTGACTTCAGGCTTGCAGGGTGCAAGCTGTTTTGTTTAGTCTCCTTGCACCTTCACAGAAATGTTGCACATGTGCAGTTGAACTTCAGATGCTAAAATAAGTTATGGCCATTTGGAGCCTTTGGGGCAGGATTTTTACTAAATCTGTAGGTCTTGTGTTATGTAATGAGTAACATGTCGCCCTGTGCAGCAGTATGTTTCACTGGTGTGTTTTTAATCATTTTTGAACAACAGTAAAGGTCCATGGCACAGACAAATAAGCTAATCCAAGCTGGAGACTGACGGACATTAACCAAGAGTACAGGCAAATCACTGGTGGTTTCAGTCTCTGTATGGGCATTGTTAAAAACACTATGAATATAGAAAGTGACCAGCGTTATCCTTTAAAGATACAGCTCTGCTAAGTCATGAAACTTAACACAGCTCAAAGCATCAGCGGTAAGGTGAAAGGAAATCCGAGCCCCATAATAAAACCAGAACCACATTATAAATTAAGAAAAGTTACCCACGGACAGGACAGAATATCAGAAAAGCAGCCAAAGAAAGTTGAAATGTAATGGGTGGAAAGAAATAAAAGTCATTCATGCCTTCAACAACTCATGCAGCTTGTGCTTGAATTAAAAAAACTGAAGCATGTTTACCATGACCTGGGGAAACTATGGAAGAAACAACATTCAACAACAGGAAAAAACAGTATGGAACAATGTCAGTACTTATGCTCCCATAGGAAGACTAGAGAGAAGCTGTAAATACACAAACACTGATTAAAATCTACTCAGCAGCACAGTGGTGTGCATGAGTTGTAGTAATGAAGCCTGGAGTCAGACATAAATACTGTATGAAAGCATCATGATGGCATTAAAACAGCCAGCACCACCTGACGCCAGTGCTGATGGGACTCACCTTGGGTCATTCCGCTCCCCACGTTGTCAGTGGGGCTGAAGCCGTTCTGCGTCGTCTGGGTCCCCAGGTCCACCATCTGGTGGAGGCGGAGCTTGCGGCAGTAGATTGATGCTGCTTCGGGTTCCAAGGCAATGATCAGCTGCTCCGGGTTTTCACGGGACACCAGACCAGACTACACAGGGGTAGGATTCAGAGCAGAAAACACATTTTAGTTTTGACCTAGATGTAAAAAAAAGAATAAATAAATCTAGATAAAAATGCACAAAGTCCTGACTGGGTCATACAACAATGAGCACCTATTTGCATTCGTTTAAGACCCTGATCAAAGAAGACAAGAGGCGACATAAGATGTAATGCTTTGGCCAAATGCAGAAGACAGGGTGTAACTGTAGCTGTACTTTACAAGTATGTACTGTATAGTCAGTAAGTATAGTTGTGTATAGTACCAGTGAAATGACTTACTCTATGCAAACTAAAGCAAACTGTAGTAGTTCTGACTGAGCTCTGTAACATATACAGTAGCACAGCTCAATCCATGAGGTTAAAAGAACAATTTGTTTTGTTTAGACAGAACCTTGATTTATGCTAAGTAGGCAGATAAAAAGTCACTTCAATGACAATACATACTATACTAAATGTCAGTGTGTAATGACTGACAAAGGATTACTCTCAGGAGACAAATGTTATCACTGTTTTGGTACAAAACTGATCCTGAGACGTGCATGAAGTGTCCTGGTTACATTAGTATTTAGCTGTCAGACAGACCCTTGTGCTGCAGGTCGGTAAACAAGTGAGCTCACTATAAACTAAAGTGTGTTACCATTTGTAATGATTTGTAAGATACAGTAAGTCTTTGTTTTCACAGCTGCACAGAAACACAGAGTACAAACATTCACATGACAAAAGACCTAAACTCATACCGTGTACGTAAGCATAAAGGTAAAGACATATGCAGCAGCATCAGGGCTGCAGTTTGCTTAGTGCTGCAGAAGAGACAATGCTTCTGCTGATGCGAGCTTTCCTCCATTTTAAAGTCCTGTATCTGCGACCTGATGGTAATAATGTGAAGTATGGATTCAGAGGCCAATGAGTCGTGTTTTACTGCCAATGCAAGGCATGTGATGCTCTGTTATTCATCTCTTGATAGGTTTGTTTTACATGGTGAAGAAGCACAGAGAAACCTAAAGCAGGACGGGTTGGGTTGCACTTTCATAAATACAGCAGCAGGTGAAGGGAAACAGAAAGTGCTCTGACTTGTCATACATACACACTATGTCATGGTTGTTTAACTGGCACATCACTATGGGTTCAGTGTCTTGCTCAAGAACACTTTGACATGTGGACGGGAGAAGCCAGGGAGCCGCCAACCTTCTGCTTAAAAGACCACCTGCTGTACCTCCTGAGCGACAGCCTCTCTCTGCACCATGTAAAACCACAATTTCCACACTTTTGTTCACGTATTAGTTGACACAAGATACACTGCTGGTACAGTGGGTGTATTGTTTTTCTCTGAACAAAACCGGCTGTCTCCATCTTAATGCTACACTGGAGTAACCATGTCCAGGCTCCTCTTGATACTTAATACACAGACATGAGAGATCTGAAGAAGGCGAACAAGGAAGGGGAGATCAAGCCATTATTTGATAAGCAACCGTAAGTCTATCTGTGGTGATCCTTTTAATGCCTTGAATGAACAGATCTTGGCTATACTACTTCATAGTCTTGGCTGACTCACTGCCTTTTACTTTCTTACCCAAAAGTGAATGGTGTCTGGCAACCATTTACATTTTGCAGGGGGCTATTTAAGAACAGCTAACGTTTTGTGATGGACCACACCTAAAGCCATTTGTGGCTGAGTTAATAAAAGATGTACTCACATCTCAGGCGGTTCAATGAGGGAGACATACAAATCTAAAGTGTACTTGAATCTCTAAGATGGTCAAGTCCTTAGTCATTGTCTAAATGCCATTTTCATGGGGTTGGATACCTCTGCCATGTTGCCTCTCTCTGCCTATACAGACGTTTTCTGATCTACTGGAATCTCGATATTAAAAAACCGACAAAAAACTAAATATGAAAAGTTGGCTATGCTGGTTGATAATTTGCCACCAAGTAGCGTGGTATGTAACAGTCAGGTTCACTCGTCTCCTCCCATACACACACACACACACACACACACACACACACACACAGACCCACACAACTGTCCTGTCTCTTCTCCCTCCTCCTCCTCCTCCTCCTCCTCCAGCCTCTCGGCTCACTGCAGACAGCCACACCCAGGTGACCACTGATGAAGAGCCTCACACACAAACTTAAAATTCTCTACTTCTGAGGACATTTGTATATTATTTATTGAGATACCTCAGATTCTGTGATACATGCACTCAGTTGTCAGTTTATTATGCAAAGATACCATACACTTACACGACTGAATGTAATTAGACCTGGGTGGATGATGCAGGTCCCCACTAAAGCACAACAATGTTAGTGAGTGTATCTTTCATGGACTAATTAATAGGCTGAACAGGTGACCGCACTGTTTTGCGCAATCAGCTGAGACAGAATCATTGATGACAGAATAACCCTTAACTAAACATTAAAAAGGACTCACTACAGGATGGATGTACAATTGTGAGATCACAAGCCGACCCTTTCACGTTGATTCAGATTTGTAAGATGCATTAGCTTGTTTGTCCTGAGGTGAACTGTATTATTTGGGGAGGGCTTACTGTGGCTCTTAGTGGTTCACCTTGCTTCTTTACCATGTCTCTATAGTGTCTGTCTGTCTCCCTGTGTCCTCTCCCCCAGGCTGTAGGTCACTGTACTGTTTGTGTATGGCAGTCACTGATTACTGTGTGGTACTGCAGCAGCCCTCAGCATCTGCCTCTCTCTACAGTGATCGCTCTAACACCCAAGTGATTTTTCCTAATCAACTAATTAGATCTTGTCTTCAGCCGTTCTTAGTATAAGGTTCCAATTTAGTTCAGGGTTTACAATCAGGCATTTGCAAACTAGAGATGCACACTGGATAAAACAAATGAATGCCAGTGCACCACTGTCACTGAAGTTTGTCAGCCGACCTTATAAGCAGCTTCCCTCATGAACTGCTTTGCAGGCATTTTCCAAATGGCAGGAACCGTGATCACCCATCTCACGTCATTGTTGTCAAAGTCGCCGCCTGTCTGGTCACTCAGCTCCTGTAACATTCACACACACACACACACACACACTGTCTGTTACACAGTTCACAGTAAGAAAGTACAACCTACTCTAGTCAGATAGCACCTGTTAGAACGCTCTGTTAAAAGGATGTTGATAGGTTGGCTTCAGGTCTGAGGCTGACCACAATTCTACAGAACGTAATCATAAAAATATCAACCAAATAAGAAAATACATTGCATGCATATACAACAGAAAATGTACTACTGACAGATATGTTACCTTCAGTGCTTGCTCCTTAAAGAAGGCTAATGCATATGCAAAGATATCCAGGGCTTTGACTCGCTTCCCATTGGCTGCGTGCAGATCTGTGTCAATGGACAGATTCTGATTGCAGGGAGAAGACATCAAAGTTAGGGTACATAAGGAAATACAAATGGGAAGAGGGGATACGAGGTCTAGATCTGCTGCTGACACAGTATGTGACTCTGCTCATTATTGTTAGATTTTGTCTTAGTGGCTTGATTATACCAGGTAACCAGAGGATGAGTCCTAATGGCTTTGGTAGTGCCCCGACCTTTCCTCTGCATCCATCATCAAGCTCAAGGTTGAGTCTGGTGTTCTCTATTTTTCTGACTGTCAACAAATACCATCAAAAGACCCACACCAACCATGTGTTGGTCAGTTTCTCAATACTTTGACTTCTCTACTTTCTAAATCTTCCAACAGCTACCAGCCAGTTTTAGGAGACAGAAGAAAAGTACACAACATTGTCACCTTTAATCTTCCAGTGTCCGCTTTACTCACAAAACATTTTCTAATGTAATTGCCAGGAAATTTACTAAGAACTTTCATGTTCCAAGGAGACATAATGATCCCATAACCCTTTTACTTAAGGAACCCTTAAAGAAAGAAAAGAAAAAAACTCACCGCACTTCAGATTCTTAGTTGTGTCATTCTCCACTTAAAATTTAAATCCGCAGCAATTCTCCATGAAATGTATTTTTGTCAGGGTGGAACCACATCTACATCATCATCTCTACTTTTGTTCACAATATTATGCGTGTACTGCTATAAATACTATTATTATAAAAAGGTGACTGTCATCAGATGAAAACAATAGTAACTGGACTAGTTGTGAGTTTTAATCAAATACCAGTGTAGAGGCTAACATAGTGTCGTGATGATGCTGGTGTGTGCCTTTTTAAACATCACAGCACACACAGGCACACTGTTGATGGTAGCAGCATCATCCAGATCATGTCCTGTAGTGAATTATGGGCAGTAAAGAACCATGAAACAACAGCCACCGGCAAAAACACCTTGAACATGGCAAGAGTCAGCAAAATGCTGCAGTATCGAGCTGCAACACAAAACATCACATCAACCATTATAAGTGTTGAGGACGGAGTGTGTCTATACAGCTGCTTGGCACACCTGCCAGAAGAGCAACCTGGAGAACTCGTATGCATTTATTCACTGTGCGTATACATTATGTTTGTGTCCTTACTGCAGTGGTATGAAGCTTCATTTTAAATTTTTCCAGGTAGAGCCAGTGCTTAGATTCGCTGGGGTCTAGGTCATGGTAGAAGTCACGTGCCGCATAGCCAAAACTGTGGAACTTCCTGTCTGGAGTCAGCAGGATTGTGGTTGGAGTCTTCTGATTGGACACACCAGGGTCTCCACCTTCCCAACGCCTGGGAGAAGACCAGTCACTTATCAGTAGGTATATATTAAATCTGTTATTTTTGCTTTTGTATCGATGAAAGATTGATTTCTGGAAGTGGCAGCACAATAAAAACATCATCTTATTAATAATTTTCCAGGTGAAACATTTAAGAACCACTTTTTGGGACTTTCCATCAATTGTACATGAAGTTATGCATCTATTGCATAGTTGATGTTTTCAGCTCAGTTCATATAACAATCACGCTGAACCTGAAAATACTTTTATGATATGGCACATGTTAAATTGCAGCAGTAGGATAAGTAGAACAAGTAGAGCAACTAGAAGTCGGTCATAAAGCTAGAATTATGACTCCGTAACACAGCAACATCTAAAGATTTCTAATATTAGCCCAGTGTTAATTTCATCAACAATACCAATAATAAAAAAATATTTGTTGACCTATTTTTCAAATCAAATAAAAAGCTAAATTTGATAAGAACCATGACAATGTGCTTTATAATGTTCATCAACAAATCATAATGTGAAAGCGAGATGAATGGATATGAAGTAGTATAGTTTTAATACAAAGTGGTCTTCAACGACCATAATTGTATCTGTGGAATCACAAGGCGTAGCTGAGAAGCTACCACCTAAGTGATGTCCTGTTTCATATGATGGTAGCGCTTCTTGGAGGAAATTGATCGAAATTCATCTACAATCCACTGAGAATTACACGAGTAGATGTGAAAAAACCCTGTAGAGACAAACTAGGAAAACCTGCCAGCATGTCAATATATTTATGAAAAGGCAAGCTAATTTGTTTTTTTTATCAAGTGCTGCGGATGTAGAACTAATGTTACAGTTACCTTGAAGCCCTTTTCAGACACGGGATATGTAACATTGCTGGCTTCATCGATCTGTTAACATGAGGGCTTTCGGCAATCCAGGCATAGGTCCCTGTTATGCTATATTGCTCACGACATGCCCAGAACCATGACAGAGAGAGCCACGGTCAATGCCTCTAACTCTAAAAGCTGTCAGCCCCCCTGTGCTTGGAGGACAATTCCACCAGCGGTTAGATTCCTGATCATTCATTACTTTTCCTGAAATGAAGTCAGGACAGCTGTGAAATTCTAATACAGGGAATGGAATGTCTCATACTAGTACACCAGTACTCTCCCACCTCTCTCATAGCAACTATTCAAAAATTCCTTGGTAGAAACTAAACACCGCCTCCCTCCTGACTCAACCTCTGTCCAGATTTGTTTGGGCAAGGAGTTCAGCACAGGAGGGTCTCACCCAAACTAAACAATCAGAGGGATCTACAGCTATTTTCACTGCAAATCTACAAGCGCCGAGTGAAAATAAAACAGCACTGACTATTGGGTTGAAATGGGAAGCAAACAACTGTTTTCTGTTTCTGTGCCAACTAACCCAGAACTTGGGTGGGCAGAAAAGCATCTGGCACTGGTTTCACATCACCTGTGTACGCTCATAAAAAGCTAATGACTGTAAAGCTTTATTTGTATGTGGATTATTCTTTAGATTTCAAACAAATCAATTACTGCACAAGAGTATAGGCTAGCCAACCTTTATGTGTATTCTCATCACAAGTACGTAAAGTATTAGCTTAACTTACTAAGATATTGGATTTGGTTGGATTCTCTAACACTGCGACAACATTCATGGTGTAACTTCAGACAATAGTGCCAAAAACAACAAAGCACTGACCTGAGCACTGCCAGGACTTATTTCACTGATTACTACAGACTCTGTCAGCACTTGGCAGGGGGATGGAAAAAACCTAATACGTTAATCACATTATAATATATATTATAAATGATATATATTATAATCGATATAAATTGATTAAATTCATGAAATAGTTTATTTTGATCTTACATAAACCTTACTTAGAATTATATCATTTTAATTACTATCAAAGTAAAGAACATTTATATACACACACACACATTTTAAGGAAATATATCTAGTACATTTTCTGCCATTGAGGTGTGTGAAAATATCTAAAAAATCTTATTTTGCAAATTAATAAAGGAACATACAAAGAACATTTTCATTTTTTGGTTGTGCAACGACCTCAGTACACTTTGTCAGCATCATATCCGATGTAGAGGGAGCCATCGATTTAAAATCACTGTTATTATGGTGCCATTTGTTTGACAATTAACTCTTCATTGTTATAATATCTAATAGATGATTAAGGAAATTCGCTGATATCTGCCCCAAACAAATGCTTGACAGAGGCAGACTATCTGTATGACTCATATGACACATCTGCACCATCTGGAAATTCTGTGGTGCCTTAGAGAAAATTCTACAAGTACAATAAATACAAGAAACTGACTGCAGGCCGCAGGTGCTGTGAAATCACACCACTTAAAACTCCTGAAAACATAGTTCTAAATATTAAGTATTTCTCTTTGAAATACACCTATTCATGATCAATAAACAGCAGGTAAAGCTTGTTGTAATCTTTATATATACACTTTATATGCTGTTTTTTAAATTTGAGTTTTTACACATATATATATTTTTGCTCTTCCAGTTCAGTGTAACTGTTCACATGCAGTATGTAAAGTTTAGCAGTGTAAAACTGGGAGTGTGGATTGATCAGATTTAACAGAAAGAGATGAAACACAGCAACTGTCATCAGATTTTTGATTCAAATGTCACTAAATCCAGAGTTATGCACAAAAGTATGTGACATCAAACCTTTCTGTCCTAAGTGAGTGTCTGCATTGCAGGACTGGCCTACCTCATGGTGTGAATGCACTCTGGCTCCTTGGTGAAGGCGTAAGCATAACCGCTGGACGTGGTGCCAAAGTCGATGGCAACCACCACCACAAAGGACGGCTCTGAGCGTACCTGGTCCGTGTCATTCTACATTACAGAGAGAATGTACCATTTGACTGGGTTAGGATGTGTAATCACAAATTGTGAGAAACACAAACCTACACGCATGCACTCAATTTAAGTTCAAATCAGCAAAGAAACATCACTACTTAACACAAAGATGAGCAAACATGGCAGCACTGAAATAATATTCACAACTCACTTCTGCTGCCCTGGGACCTTGTAGCAGAAATCAATAAAAATAATTGTCATTTTGTTCGATAGTGTTGGTGGAGTCAATGATACTATGCTATTAGTGTTGTACAGGGGTAGTGTGTTTGTAGTGTGCTGGCACAGTCGTATTACTGTTTGTTGCTGCACTGACTCAGCCTGATCCTGACAAGAATGAGGAAGAAGAAACAATAAATAGCAAAAAAAAAAAACAAACAAAAAAAAAGCATGCAGGCCTTCGACTGTTTCATCATACTGGTATGGAAGGAAAGAACTGCTTCTGCTGTATAGATAAAATATGAAAACATATATATATAGTAGTCAATGAATATCTGGACAATTAGTTTTATCAGTCACATTGTGTGTCTGTTATGTTAGACACTGACTGTCGTTATTGACTAGTCAGTCACCAAACAGCGAGTCAACCAATCCTGCTGACATGACTAAACAAGAAGGCCGTTCTGAAAGGAGAATAAACCTGTGAACTCCAGTTTATTACACACAGAGACAGTACAGCAGGTACAGAACAACAACAAGTACATGTGTGTAAGAGAAGTGAGTCACCTGAATGTGTGAAGGAGACAGTGGGGTGATTCCAGGGTCACCCATGCTTTTTGCTGGAGAAGGGTTAGCCATCTCATCTGCAGAGACAAAGACATTCAAAACTGTACCTTTATGTCTGTATGCTCAGTTGTTACCTCCACCGAGGTTCTGTGTGTGTGTGTGTGTGTGTGTGTGCGCGCTGGTTAGCACAATTATAAACGATGGATAATCAGCATACTTGGCAAAGGCATCGGTGGGGACCAACCCCATCTTTAAAATGGGGCAACTTTTTAAAAACTTATATCTCCATCCAAAGTTTTCAAAATCTTTTCAAATTCAACCAAATATAAGGTGGCAATGTCAATCACCAGACCAAATTTCATCCAGATCTGATCCGGATTCCAGATCTAACAGCCAATTAAACATTGAAAACCCCATTTAATGCATACTTTCTGCCATAACCTGGCCTATAATGAAGATACAAGCCTGAAATGTTCAGGTAAGATGCACAGAATAACTTCCTACCAGACCCTAAACAATGATCTGGATCTGAGCAAGGATATTAGGAAATATTTAGTGTTGTTCTGGAACTTATTTTTCACAAAGGACCATGTGCTTTCTGAGTGCTCTCCTTTTAATTTATTTATTTACACTAAGTAGGCATCTTTGGAAGGAGAGGATGGGGGGGTGCTAGGTTCATGTCTGGGGGAGCTCTGAAGGGGGGGAGGGGGATCAGTACAGCGACATTCTCTGAATGCCCTGAGTGATGCGGAGCACAGTCAGGTGAAACTGCAGGCTATCTCTGCGTGTGCGCTGTCCTTCAGGCTTATCCATACATTCATGTTTGGATAAGATATCCCAAGGGCATGATGCAAGCTAGCACCAAGCAGTCTGGATCCAGAGATGTTTGAATGTACCCCATCAGTTTCGAAGCAATCTTTACAATTTCGAAAAAAAAAAAAAAAAAAACTGAAGTTATCATTGTACCTTAGCCCACGAGTGAGGCACTCTGCATACAACCATGTATTCAGGATCAGGAGTCGGTTATCAATTGTACATATCTATCGATAAATTAATACGCATTGTACAGACTGTAGATACTGTGCACTCTGCACTGCTGTTATTGCACTTCTGGTTAGATGCTAAACTGTATTTCGTTGCCTTGTACTTGTACATGTGTAATGACAATAAAGTTGAATCTCATCTAATCTAATCTAAATGATCCTAATCTTTTTCCAAAAGTTGGAATGGGGGCAGATCCTTATTATTCACATGTTGTAAATAATGACCGGGGGGGTTAAGTGTTTTGCCCAAGGACACTTCGACATGTTGACCGCAGGCACCGTGATTCAAACCTCCAACCTTCTGGTTGGGCGATGGCTGCTCTACCCACCTACCACAGCAACCAAAAGGTTGACCGCCCAACGTGGTTCAGTTTGTCCAGTAGCAGTGAAAAAGCTTTTTTCCACAATTTTAGAGCTAGCTTTCCTTTGCAAGATGTCACAAAACCCAGCATAGATAATAAAGTTCATATTACTTGGATGTGTAAAGACAATGACTGGCAACAGTTCTGTTAGTTCCCTTACAGATGTGTCAGCCACAGTTAAACTTTCAGTTTTTGCCATCTTTACATACTTGGTTATAGAGTCCCCAATCAGAATAATGTCTTGTATGTCAGGTTTGGAATTAGCATAGCTTCTTCTAATCCTCTGCCTAGTTGTGGCTTTTGGGATACTTTTTGTGTTTTGGCTAGCTTTAGTGCTGGCGATGTGTCTAGCTTCCCTGGGTTCAGCAATTTTGGTATTGTCACTAGATTCATTTTGAGTCAATGGCTCAAACCTGTTTTGCAGTGGAAGTTCAGGTGGTGGAGTGAGCACTCCAATTAAATTTCCTACTTGATTTACTTTGATATACCATTACTGCTGACTCCGGACAGATGTAGCAAAGCCTGCAGCACATCACAGACTACAGGACCACCACCAGCATCATCAGCTCCACTGACAGCCTGCCGGATGACCTCAACACCTTCTACACCCGCTTTGAGACCTCCAACTACAGCACAGAGAGGAGGCACACACACACCACCCCACCCCCCACCCAACTCCCCTCCACTAACTGTCTCACCAGGCCAGGTACGCACAGTCCTGAGGAAG